TCAATTGAATGTTATTGTAAAAAAATTTAGTAACGTGATTACTATTAGAAATGTAGATCCTTCACCCTACCCTTAAACGTCAAAAAAATCAAATTTTTTCAATATCCCTTCTCATGGCGTCAAAAATATTTGGGGGCGATATGCCCGAGTTATTGGAAAGGATTCTTAATAATTTGAGTTCTGAAGCTGATTCCGAAGCTGATTCCTTATTCTCGTGCACACTTGTAAACCGGACTTTGTGTAAGACGACGATTCCAATACTTTGGAAAAATCCATTTAAAATTTCTGAAACACCAACGTTTATATCTATATACTTTTCATCCCTCGAGGAGAGCGAAAACCCTTTATTAAAAGAATACGGGATAATGGCAAATTTTCCTAATACTCTGTTTCAATATGAAAGATTTTTAAAGGTTCTTAATTTACATGATTTAAGTAGGAATGCTAGAGGATGGATTTATCACCAACTTCCCAACCTGCAAAATGATATGACAGAGTTAGAATGTTATATAGCCAATTTATTGTTGAGAATATTTATTGAGAGTGGTGCTAGCTTATCTAAATTGGAATTATATTATTTCAGCAAGTGCATTGAAATTAAACACGAGACGTTCTACTTTTTAGGACAGAATAAGCACTTTCTTTCACAACTTCACGATCTTGATGTGAAAATAATAGTGATGTCTTATATTGAAAGTGCTATTTCATGGTTAAGAATCCTGAGGAAAAATTCTACGAAAATTAAAGACATGAAAATTAGCTGTTACCTTAGTTTTAAACCTCAAATATGTCATGCATATCAACTATGTCATGCATATATATGCATTATTAAGTCGCAAAAACAAATTAGATTTTTTGAAGTTGCTGGTAATAGGAATTTATCTACGAAATTCTTTGGAATCATTTCAGCCTTAGAAGGACAAAAAAAAACCTTAAAAGAAATCACAATTAATAATTGTGCTTATAGTGAAGAGTTTGAAGTGCTAAGAAATTGCGAAAATTTAGAAATTATTCGAGTCTCAGGATATAATGTTGAGAAAATGTTAGAATCGTTTAATACTAGTCTTTGCAACACTTTACATATAACTTCAACGTCAGTTGATGCATCGAAAATTGTACAAAGTTTAAAAAAGGCGGGATCATTATTACAACGACTTGTAATTTATTCATTTGGACAAGAAATTCACTCACAATCGTTATTATTTAAAACATTAATGACGTTTTGCCCAAACATTACTTATCTCTCCTTTTGGGGTATTACAATTTCCTTTCAATTCATGGATTTTATTGGTAGATTGCAAAGACTTCAATCTCTTATCCTAGAATGGATAGTGGATGAATCAGAAGAATTGATGGAGTCAAGTATAAAGTACTTTGCCAAAGTATTGCCGTCGACATTAAAATATCTTAGTTTAAATAATGATCCGTTAGATTCGCACGTTGATATTTTGCTTAATCATTGTGATGCACCTTTAAAAAAATTGTCATTTAATATTATTTACGGTGGTCATAATTATAAGAAACAAATCGAAGCATTAATTGAATTTTGCAATCGAAAAAAGACCTTGAAGTATGTGGATATAATCGATTGTGATAATGAAGAGCAAATTCCAATTCACAGAAACTGGTATAAAATTTGTCGAGATTTGGAAGGATATGTTGAATTGGTGCCGCACGGAACTCTTACCGCTGACTGTTAAGGTACAGTAACTTGATATTTATGAAATATTTTTTTATAACACAAATGTTAATCTGTTACGGTAACTATATATATCTGATTTTATAACTAATTTTTTAGACGACGAATTGAATTATTCATATACTTCAATATCGTGGTGTGTTAATACGTATATAATGATTAAGGTGCTATGTAAACATTTTTAAATGATTTTATCTTATAAATGCGAGATAAATTTAAATATTATAAAATGTTTGTTTAATACTTTCTATACTATATCTGTATGATTCATATTAAATGTAGAAGGTTCATATAATTCGATACAGGATGTTAGAAGTCTGAAATTGCGTATAATATTAATGTTGTTACTAGTGATGACCCATGGCTTCGCCACGAGGTATTTATATAAAACTTGATCGAGATTAAATGGATAATGTTTGATGAAGACTACTGGGTTATATAGTATTGAAGTTGCGACTTTGGGCATTAAAAGTTGTGCTAATCAAAGTAGAAAGTGGAATCTATGAATAATTATTCTATTATCGATCGAAATTATCGAGCACCGAAATAAGCTTTCATTCACCGATCTTTTTAGTTAGATTAATCGTCGAATATCGATTAAATTTTAATACTGTAATAATTATAAAATCAACTGTTTTGCTAGTGATAAATTTTTGATCCTGTTTTAATACTGTAATATTGATAAAATCAACTGTTGATATTGATAAGTTTTTTGACCTTAAATAGCAATTTTAATATACATTAAGAAATACAGTATGTCGATTTAATAAATCTTTCAAACATTAATTAAAACATGAAATTTGATTTAATATTGGATGAAGATACAGCACTTACGTTAATGTTACTGTAGAGTTCTCTTGTGATAATAATGAGGACGAATCTAATTGTATCGATATTCCAGTTTGTGAACCAAAATCCATTATAAAAGAGGCTGTTTTCCGGGAATTGTAATATCTCGTGATACTGTGATCCAATTTAGATGATTTTGATATCATTTAATGTCTCACTGATACGAATCAATGACACCAAAATCGTTCTCATTGATTACATTATTTTTAGAAATCAATTTCATTTTCGTGAATTGTATATCTCGAGATCCTGTGATCCAATTTGGATGATTTTGGTATCATTCGGTCTCACTGAGACGAATTTAATGGCGCCAAAATCATCGAAATTGGATCACAGGATCCTGAGATACATGATATATGGAATAAAATTGATTTTCTATGTTTACCTTTCAATTAAGCGGCCAAGTCTATTAGTAAAATGTTGTTCAATTTTTGTAAAATTTTGTATTATATATAATTTAGCACGGCGAACACGTTTACTTAGCAAACTTTGTTCAATTTACTTAACAGAAATCATGCCTATTATATATCAACGCAAATAGGTATAAATATCTGTAATAAATTTTTATATATGCAAAGCATAAATCAATTTATATTTGTATGTTCGTAGGTCTTACAGGTAGAATTTTACAAATATCTTTGAAAATTTGAGGATTTCTTACATAGTAAAAAAAAAAAAAAAGTTCCCGGAAATAAGTACCTACGTGGTCTAAAAAATGATTCTGAGTTTAGCAGCATTTTGATTAAGTCATAATAACTAATAAAGATGGAATATGGTGTATGTCATTTTACAAAAGATGATAACATACAAAGAATCAAAGTTGTGGGTGGATCAACTTCGAACCTTATTTATCATCTTTCTTCAAAACATGGAATCACGGTATGTTTTGCAAATTGATACGTTTGTTATATCTTATTGTAGTTTTGATTATTTATTTTTATAAGGATAATAAAAATTAAAATTGCTAGAACTCATTCAAAAGCAAAGAACGATTTTCTTATTCGATTTTTATTAAAACTTCTCATTCATGAAAATTTGCCACTTAACCTTGTATCGAAAGAACCATTTCAGTGATTCGTTTATAATATTGATTCTGCATTTGGTAAAATTACTTATTCAGTATATCAACTAAATGCATGCAGGAATTTTATGAGTTTAAAGAGAACATTATTAAATCTGAAAACAATTGATTTTATTATTCCTGATATTTAGAATTAATTGTAGTTTTTATATCGTTAAATGTAAACGGATTATAATTTATGCGTAAATTATAACTTAATAGTACCGGCATAATTGCTAAACCTAATGTTAACTATCCTCATAATAAGGCAGGGCTGTGTAGTGGTAAATAAGCGGGTGCCAACGGTTCTTTCTTCTTACTGGTGGTGCCAGTTAGTCTATTAATAATGGGGTGATCTTTTGCTCTGCAATGTACTTACATAATATTACATGCATATCTCTGCATAAAGGTCGTGTTCGAACGATATGATCACGTGCTAAAATTAAAAAAAAATTCGCGTGGCTTTATGTATTAAACCAGAATTTAATATTTTTACTAAGACAAAAAAAGACAAACATACAATTTAGCAGAAATAACTATGAATCCTATTAGTAATCACCACTAACAATTCTTTTGTTGATAGATTAGAATTTGCCTTCACATGTTAACCACGAAAACTTTCCATTTGGTCTAATATTTTATTATGCATACATATACGATTTATTTTCAAAGTATTGCTATACTATTACAATCAATCATCGATCAATGTTTCGATTAGTTGGTTTGTTATGGTTCAAGGTATATAGTATATGATATATGCGCTTATTTAGTATTACATGTATATACATAAAGGTCATGTTCATACAATATGATCACGTGCTGAAAAATAAACAAAAATACAAGTTTAGCAGTAATAATAACTATAAATCCTATTAGTGATGATCGTGTACAGGTTTCTTTTTGGATAGATTAAAATTTACCTTCACGTGTTAACTACGAAGACTTTTTACAACCATTGTGTTCTGATATTTTACTGTACATAATATACTATTTATTTTCAAGTAATGCTATACTAATACCTGTTATTTCAATGTTAGAAAAAATATTAGCAAAGCATTGATATTAAAATTGAAGTTCAAGTTTTGAGCCAGTTTAATACTTAAAGTGTTACCTTTTTATTGTATTTATTATTTATTATTTATTATCTAACATGTTCTTTGATTCTTTGGTATGTTATAATTTGAATTTTTAGAATCTTTTTCTCAGAACAATATGATTCTTATAAAATTAGTTAAATATAAATGTAAATTACTCAAGGATACTATTGCGTCAACAGGAAAGATTGATTTAAAATTCTGTTCAATACTTCAAATTTAAACGTTATGTACTTTCGTTCTTGATTTCTTTGCAATGAGCTACTGTAATAAGCAGTTAATTTGTTTTACTGATTACCGTAAATTTACAAAATATTGAAAGATTACATTATTATTTCAATATAGAAGATTGATCTCAAACTTTATTATTGCTATGTGATAAGTCTGCTGACAATAAATGAATGTCATAATACATGTAGCGTCATTGAGAAACCAACTATAATATTGTAAAAAGTCAGACTGTCAAGTTAACGGCATTTCAAGAATTTACAGTTTTTTTTTTTTGTTTTGACAAAAATTTTTTTTTTTAATGCATAAAAATAATTTGATAAATAAATACATCTTAAACCGTATCATCAAAAATCTGTTTTTAAAATTTTTCAAAAATTGATTCAGATCAATACTAACCTTTAATTAAACACATTATGACTTGCTACGCAGACACAATTATAAAAATCAAGTATGTTAAAAAAAGTGAAAAAGAAGACGCGAAAGTAATTTCAGTATAGGCTATCAGAACATACCCAGTAGGACATGAAGACAATGAAATTGAAGTAATTTTATTTATGCCAGTCAATCCAAAGGATCATGACCCCGAATCGCAAGCAATTTTTAAAGAGATGAACACTACTCTGTTGGAGGAAAAATTGTACCTGGATCTTATACTGAAAAAATTAGGCCAAAAGTATTTGAATGTTCTGCTAAATTATTGTAAAATAATCTTTTAGAACTTATTTAAAACACTCAGTTCAAAGAAAGCTAATAAATAATTTTAAAAGTTTTTTTTTTGTAATAATATTTTTTTTAAAAAAAACTTTTGACTAAATCAATTATTTATTTTCTTTGAATTGAGTATTTCTAAATAATTTCCAGAACATTATTTTATAGCATGGCATATAAAAATTTACAATATTCGATTTAATATGTAGATGACGGCTTCTACTTCAACTTACCTAACAATTGTTGATAAAGTTTCAGATTTAAATAAGTGCCCTCTAAAAATTTCTCTAATAGGAGTTCCCCAAAGAATGCTAGTTGAAATTAAAAACACTGACAATTCTGTCTTAGAAATGCTTATATCTGATTATGTCAGCCAATCATATAATTATACAGTCAAAGTAGTCTTCCCTTATGAAAATTCACGCTTTAAGCACTTTACAACAACAATTCACCCCAAGAATCAATTATTTTCGTAATTGGGCAAATAGAAATAATTGATAATGAACTTTATGTTTATGCTAATAATATCAACTATGTTGACACTCATTTTATCACTAAACAAAAGAACTTACCAATACTGAATTACCACAAACAAATCCAACACGATCAAAGCTTTTGTATATTCATCAAAATATTACCAAAAATTTGGAAGATAATTTTAAAGAAAACACACATTTATTAAAATGCAAAAGATCAGAAGAAAACATCAAAACAGAAAATGTGATACTCACTAATGCTAATAATACTGAAGATAATCAAACAAAGCCTGAAGATTTTATTCAAACAGATCAAGAACCTGAAACTGATATGACTGAAAAAAGGTCTGGTGAAGATAATGAACACCCAACATGAAATACATGCAGTTTTAAAAAAAATAAATAATTCAATTGTGAATTCTAATGAATAATCATTGTTAGTATAGTATCTAATATATAATATATAATGTATATACATATATATATTTATATATTTATATATATAATATAAGTTTATTTTATACTCAACTATATGTGTATATTTTTTATTAAAATTCTATATATATTTACTTGATATAAAATGAATGCTTTATTACTGTTATACAAAAGTTGAAAAATAAGTGTAACTTTTTCATATGCAAGCATGCGCATAATATAATAAATCAAGCAATAAAATCCAGTATTTACTTTAATTAGTTATACAATAACAACAACTTATATATAATGCTGCACAATACTATTTTAACTATAAACAAGAAATATGTGTACATATGTATGTGTATTAATGTTAATAACAATTGAGCAATTAAGAAAATCAGTCTAAATTATTACCTTTTTAGTAGTAAATAACACATTATTGTTATATCGATAGTCTGATTTCTCGTACATATGTACGTGCATCAAATTCTACTAATTCACTCTTATTATACTTAACTAGATATGTTAAAATAGATATATAGCATAAAACTGAACTTTGATCAGTAAATATAATTTTGTTCTGTGCATGATACAAAATTAACTCCTAAAAATATCTATAATATTTCTAATTCACCAAACATAAATGTAAATCAAACAAAAAAAAAAGCAAAGTATATACTATCATTGATCACAATAATACATTCAAAATAAATGAATCGAACGAAAAAAAAAGGCAAAACATAGTAGGCACTAAGCTATAATAAAATATAACAACCTATAACTACATTAGATTTCTGTACTATTCTTATGAATTATACTTACTATTTAAATCTTATTATTGCTCACTATCTGCATTTCTTAATCCGGTAATTGTATAATTGATTATTTTGTTATTTTACTCAATATAGCAATCCAATTACACTTAGCCTTTTTTTACCGTAGTATTATTGGTATTACAAATTTGTTCAAGTCAAGTATGACATCAGAACAACAATTCACACAATATTTATAATGTGTAAAACATGACAAAAATAAATATAATAAATTAGAAATGGCACAATGAAGAAAAATACAAATAAAATATGTTAATAAAAAATTGTGTATATATTAAAATACTTACATCTTAAAACATATTAAACCCAACATTTTTACTCTATCTCTTCGAATTTAATATTTATAAACCAAACATAAATATCTATTTATTTATAAAAACAAAAAACTTCTTACAAAATTGTTAATACCCTTGATAATACTACTATTTTTTATAATTATATAATATAGTAATAAATATGAATACTGAACAAAGAACTATACAAGCACAGAGAGAATATGAAAAAATGAACAGAATACATAACCTTGGTTGTATGAATATAGAATGTATTCACTGTGGTGCTCTTCATTGGCTATATGAAACGATTGACATATTCTTCAATTCAAAACTCTAGATTTAGATTATGTTGTCTTCAAGGAAAAGTTATTTACCTCTTCTTAATGACCCTCCACCTCTTTTATAACAATTATTCGAAGATGATGATAATGAAGCCAGAGAATTTCACATGAATATTCATCAGTATAATGCTGCTCATGCGTTTACATCACTAGGCGTCAAAATTGATTGAACTGTTTTACAAGGACATGGTCCATATTGTTTTCGTATTAGTGGAGAATTATGCTATTTGTCTTGTTCACTTCTTCCTGCTGAAAATGATAAAATAGAATATGTACAACTTTATATATATGTCTCGACGATAGCACATCTATTATGAATAAATCAAACATTAATCTATCAGTACATACAATGTGAAAAATACAAAACATTTTACACATTTACAATCCATATTGTTCGCTATATCAACAAGCCTAAAAAATTCTCTCCCAATTCTACATAAACAATCCTGCTAATACAAATTTAACCATTTACATATATTATATTAGTAAAACAAATATATATCGCTATAATCTTCTAACAATAGATGTAATAGCCATCCTCTTACCAGATGACGGATCTATGCCAGAAGCTATGCATGATATAGTCATTCAATTACACAATAATTCACTTGAATGTATTCATGAAGAACATCTTGCTTATTTACTATTATATTATATACTTCTTTTTTCACGTGATGAACTTAGATGACATGAAGAATTGCGTCAAATAAGCACAAACAATCAAGTTAATAAACCAAACAAAATTTTCCTATTACACAAAAATAATTTTTTTCCTTCTGTCTCTTTTACGCATATACTGAATTTTCAACAATTCTTCCAGGTGGCAAATTATTTCAAGAAGTTATAGTTGATGCATGGATAGCAATGAAACAAAATCGGTTAAGGCTTTTACATAATAACCAAGGCATATTACACAATGATCTATACCAGGGACTTGCAGACATTGCGGGAAATATTGCAACTAGAGAACTAATACTTAATAATCTTGAATGTCAAATAATTCTTCCTTCTACACATATTGGCAGTTTACGTCATATGTTTGAAATTTTTCAAGATTTGATGGCAATTACTCAGCATTATCAACACTCTGATATCTTTAGAACTATGACAGCAAACCCTAGATGGCCTAAAATTACTAATGAACTATTACTTGGTCAAACATTAGCTATCGCCCAGATTTAATAGCACGTGTATTCAAATTGAAACGATAGTCTCTTCTCAAGGATATTAGAAAAAATAATCTTTTTGGCAAAACTGTTACTCATGTCTATACAATTAAGTTTCAGAAACATAGTTTTCCTTATATTCACTTTTTAATATTTCTTTATAACAATTATAAAATAAAAAAAACTGCTAATGTTGACCATATCATATGTGCTGAATTTCCTGATGAGGAAACAGACCCAATACTATTTAATACTATATTACATTATATGGTCCATGGTCCCTGTGGTTCTCACAAAATGGTGAATATAAAAGAAATTATCCAAAACAATTCTGCGATACAATATCGATAAATACAGATGGTTATCCTTTATATAGAAGAAGAAATAACAGAAAAATATTTAATATTAATAACAAACCTATTGATAATCAAGATGTAGTACCATATAATCCAACCCTTAGCTACATATATAACTGTCATATAAACATCGAAATTTGTGTATCTATATATACTGTAAAATATATTCATAAATATATTTACAAAGGTCATAATCGAACTACTATTTAATTTGGATGAGATTACAATGAAATCAAACAATATATCGACGCAAGATACATAAGTGCATTAGAAGCCATTTGGCGTCTTCTAGGATTTAATATGCATGAAGAAGTACCTAATGTTGTACAACCAGCCTTACATTTTCCAGGAATATATAGAGTAGTTTTTGACCCAAATGATAATGCCACATAGAGTAGTTTTTGACCCAAATGACAATGCCACATAGAGTAGGTTTTGACCCAAATGACAATGCTGCTTAGATTCTTGAACATGCTAATCGACAAAAAACTACTTTAACTGCCTTCTTTGAAACATGCAAAACTCTTAAAATCACCTGTTAATACATATATTAAGAATTTCTGCAAAATTTTACTTGAGATAAATCTAAAAAAGAATGGAAACTATGAAAACATGGCTTTGCATTTGGTAGACTATACTTCGCTAATCTATCTGCAGAAGAATGCTTTTATTTAAGACTTCTACTAACCATAGTTTGTGGTCCACAATCATTTGACTATCTAAAAACAGTTAATAACATCACTTAACCAACATTTAAAGACACATGTATTGCTTTGCGTTTGTTAGAGAATAACAATGAATAGAAGCAATGCTTAAGAGAAGCTGCAATCATATGTAGTGACATCCAACTAAGATCACTTTTTGCTATTATACTTATATATTCTACCCCAACCCAACCACATAATTTGTGATTATAACCTCTGCGATGATCTTTGATACTGTTTAACTAATGAACATAACATACGAAATCCAACTAAATCTCAAATATTCGATTTCAGGCTTTTTCTTCTTGATGAAATCTTGCATCAGTCCAATTATTCCCTTGATATGTTTTCTGCCATGCCCTGATGAAAATACAATTGGGGTCAGTATCAAGAAAATTATCTTATTTATGAACAATTAAACTGGAACTATGATGAACTTCAAAAAACTTCTGCTGATCATATTCTTCAACTAAATAAAGAACAGAAAATAGTATATCAAAATATTCTTAATTCTGTAACAAAACAAGAAGGCTGTTTATTTTTTCTAAATGGAACTGCTGGAACTGGAAAAACTTTTCTATACAACACCCATGCAATAAAAGTTCGAAGTGAATGTAAAATCATAATTTGTATAGCTTCCTCTGGCATTGCTGCCCTTCTACTTACTGGTGGTTAAACAGCTCACTCAACATTTAAAATTTCAATTGATATTAATGATGATTCTCTATGCTTAATCAATAAAAATTCTAATCTTGCAGATCTACTATGACAAACTACCCTTATCATATGGGACGAAATTCTAATGTAAAATCGTAACTGTGCT